GCAGATTGAATGAATGAATGATTAGAAAGCACTGAGAATCATGGGGTATTACATGTAGGGTACTTAGCTACAGAAAGTGCTAGATAGAAGCTTGCAATAAAAAGGATGATGATGATGCCGACTATCACGGCATTTTAAAGATCCTAACATTATAGTCTAGTCTTCCTTGGCATTATACTTTACTTCTAGACCCAGCCCCAGAATCAATATTTTCCTCACCCTTGTTCACTCAATTCCCTGTCTTTTTCAAAACTTGGCTGGCCCACTTGATAACCACAGCCCTGATGGAAGGGACTTCATTTCCCTTCCCAAGTATTCAGAAGTCATGCAGGACTCAGTCGTGCTGAGTTCAGGGTTGTCCCAGCTACCAGAGAGAAAGGCACAAGTGAATCACCTGGTGGACACTGAGAAAGGGCGGTGGTGATGCCATACAGTCGCGTCTGTTTGTGGGGGTGGAAGGCATCCATCTCTTTGGAAATCGCAAGATCAACAGCAATCACAGTATTTCTATGAAGCACCAGGAAAAAAAAAAGTCTGTTAGCTCGGATTTTTCTCCGTGGGGTGGTCCTTGCATAGCTTGGAATAAACTGGAGGCCATAAGTAGCCACCACGGTCTAGTTTCCTAAGCCCTGATCCTTGTGGGTGGATAATGCCTATAATTCTTCTCTGAGAAGTGGTGCATGCCTGCAGTTCTACTCTGATATAAGTGGGAAATGAATAATGCTTTACCCATTTCTCTCAAATAAAGAAAAATCCAAAAAAGAAATTTGCTGCCTTCGAGTTGATGCCAAGTCATAGTGACCCTATAGCCCGGGGTAGAACTAACTACCCCGGTGAGTTTCCAATACTAACTCTATAGAGGAGGAGAAACCCCGTCTTTCTCTCATGGAGCAGTGGGTGGTTTCAAACTGTGGCCGTTGCAGTTACATAATCACGACACCACCGGGACGCCCATTTCGCTAGCTGCTTAAAAATAGGACCAAGCTCAGAGATCCCTCCCCAGCCACTCTCCATCTCAAGCTAGGAAATTAGTTTTCTTCAGAGATGCCCCTGGCTCTTGGTTTTCCAGCCCCCTTCCTCTCTTCAGTCTGAACCAGTTCAACAGCAGCAGCAGTGTTGTTGCTGTGGAAGGAAGGGGTGGGTCAGAAGGGGTTGGGAGGGTACTCTGCTGGCCAAGAGCTATGATGGAGTACAGGGGGTGGGGGCAGGGGAACACCAAGGCTCATGCGGCTCATGAGCCAAGTGACTTACAATCAGCATGTTTAGGGAGCCCACGTTGACACGTGGTGAACTGTCTACCCAGGAGGATTCAGATGAGAAATAAATGACGTGTCCTCCTCTCCTCTCCCTCCAGGGACTTTGCCCTCCCTTCTCTTTCACCACCTTCTCCTGTCTACTGCAATCTCTGGAAGTTCAAGGGTCAACCCAAGAGGTCAGATAGAAGAATAGCACCCTCAGGACCAGAGGGTGAGAGGGTGAGGGTAAGCCATCCAGCCTTGGCCTAGCAGGCTACATACGTCTTCCAGTCTGTGTAGTACAGATTCTTCCCATAGCTCGTCACAGCAAAAGGATACTGCAGCCCTTCAAGAACCTTGCGTCTGCTGGGCTGACTGGGGCTCACACATTCCACCCGCTTGGTGCCTATGTGGAAGGAAGACAAGGCATTCATTGTTCATGCAAGAAATAATCCCTTTGTGTCAAAAGCAAGAGCCATGAGAGCATGGATGAGAGGAATTCAGTGTGACATGGACAAATCCCTGAGAACACACAAGGCCTTTTCTTGAAACTTAGAAAGTTGCCTTTCGTCTCCTCTCTCGTCCTTCTCATTAGTCAACACGATCTTCCATCTCGCCACCCATACCTGACTCTTCTGGCAAGAAGTGAGGCAGAGGCAAGGGACTGACCCATGCGTTTCCCCCTCCCAGAGCTGCTGGTGTCTGCTCTGCCTGCCTCTCCTGGCTGTGCTTCGGAGGAGGAAGTACATCCCCCCTTTCTGCTTGGCTCAGGTCCCTCCTTAAGGCAGCCTTTCGGGGCCTCCCCTGCTGAATTGGGAGCGACGCGCCAATTAAAGGTTGCTAAGCCAACAATTGCAATAGATAAACTCACTAGGCTTCTAACTGATTGAAGCCACTGAGGCACCGCGAATAAAACCCTAGTGATTGCCTTTTGTAAAACTATACATTGAACATCCTAGAGAATACAGTTCCAATTTGATGGAACTGGGGTTGCTGGGAGTTAGCCAACTTGACAGCAAATTTGAAAAACAAAACAAACTGCTACCGGGCTGATCAACTGCGCACGGCCTTGCACCACTGCCTGCATCGGGACAGAACAGAGCGCGTGTGTTCTCATTCACTGGCCATGCTTTACTCCGTCATTCGGCAGGCACCGTGTGGTACAGGCTCTGTATTCCTATGGCACTCAACAGAGTGTGGAACAGAGACCTGGTGGTGGGCTAATGCCCTTCCCCCTATTGAGCCCATTGCCCATAACCCTGGCTTCAGGGGAACCCAGAAGATGCCAAGGCTGAGTCACTAAGCAGGGAATGCAAGCCTGTGTCTTCTTGCATAAACCTTGGTGACATGATGGAGCTGTTTGAATATTAACTGTGACTTGCTCTCTACGTTTTGAGGTAACCACACACTACGTTGAGGTACCGTTCAGGACAGGGGCGGCACATTTTCTCTGGAGGGCTGGGTAGTGTACATTGTAGGCAAAATCAAAGATATCATATGAGTACTTGTATAATCATTTAAAATAAAATGTTTAAAAATATGCAGCAATGCCTAACTTCTAGGCTGTAAAAAACCATCAACCAATGAAACATGTAAAACAAACAAACAGGAGCTGGGATGGAGTTATACCATGACGCAGGAGAGTGAAAACCCTCCCAGTCAATGTCAAGCTGAGGGCCGAAGAGAAACAAAGTGCTTCCAACCACAGATGTACAGCTCAGAGTATGTGCTTGTGCAGGGAAGACAAGACAATCCTTATACCTTCCTCCCAGGTACAGATGCTCTTGAGGTACACATGGGCTTAGGTGACTGTAAAAAAAAAGGGTTGGGGGGGGTCGGGTGGCACCGCTCCAATCCCAGGAGTCATCACCTGCGTCCACCCAGCAGAGCTGAGATGAAAATGCGTCAAAGGTCAGCCCGTTGGGCAAACCCAGGTCATCTTTCACAAGGATCCTCCGGTTTGTGCCGTCCATGTAGGCAGTTTCAATTTTGGGGTTATCTCTGTTCCAATCTGTCCAATAAAGGTTTCTGGAGGAGAAAGAAGGGGAGTGGGGGGAGAGAAATAATGATGGAACATGAAAAATACGTTTGCAAAATCATTTACAGTAAGTCCCTGGGGTAGAGACATCTAATTAACGGACAGCTCTCATTTGTCCTTTCACGCTACAGAAATCTGCCTTCACTTTGAAATGATGGAACCAACTGTTGCTTGCAAAAAATTCTTCATCACCATCACCTTCACTTGCTACGTGTGCAGCTTTTAATTTACTGAAAATGCTTCCAGCCTTTTCTTGCATTAAAGTAAGGCCAAGAAGAACTGCATACACTCTTCTGACTTACCTACAAACTCGTACTTAGGAATGGGTTTTGTTTGTAACCTGGGGCTTTCTATAGAAAAGAAGCTCTGATGAAGAGACAGGTGCTAAAGAAAACAGAATGGCTAGAAAGGACCTAGGCGTGATAGAACACATGTGATAAGAGACATTCACTCATCTGAGTATTGTTTTCTATACAAATTCAGTTACTTTCGACAAACTGGCATAAACATATGGGAATTCTCTGTATGCTGCCACCACATGGAGGGCACAGTAGACTCAAGGGACTCGGGTAAGGCAGGTGCGGACACTGGCAGAGGTGGTGGTCAGCACCCTGCAGCTGGGTTGAGGGTGGAGGGCTTGGTGGGTGAGTGCCCCAGAATAAGCTGAGCGCACATTGATGTGTGGTCAGGACCCCCAGGCGGGGTCTCTGAGGAGTACTCAGATGGTTCTGGGCCCAGAGAGGAGCCCAGGGTACACATAGGCCACCCTGATACTCTGGTAGTGTTTCTATCATTTGGATGTTTACTTAGGCTCTACCAAAATTTAAAAATATCCATTTTTACGCACTTTGCAAAGTCTTTTGATAAAAGATTTGAAGGAGAAAATGGTAGCAAATCTACAAGTTAGAACCATGATCACAGGGACTGGCTCTGAATGTTCAGGCATCTCCCAGTGTATATCTGCAAGTCACCAGCTAGACAGACCTGGCATTCATTTATTTCAGGAGAACAATGCTGGGATGCGGTGAGCCTGGCATTTGAGAATACCCAGAAAGGCAGATGGAGGCCAACCCGCAGCATGTGTGTATTTATGTAATTACCCTCTCACAGCATCCACTATGATGCCTCTGGGGTTCACCAGATCAGTGTCAAATAGCATCCTGCGCTGGCTGCCGTCCAACTTTGCAACTTCAATTCGATCCAGGTGAGAATCCGTCCAGAAGATGTTGCGACCAAGATGGTCGAGAGCAATGCCTTCTGGGCTGCCGAGATCTAGAACAAAAGACAGAACTTGGACTTCTGCGCAACAGAATGAAACACTCTCCCATCTGGTGCCATCGTCATGACCATTCCCTTCACTGGTTTCAATGCCTCCCCTTTGGGACACTAAGTGACAACGAGGAAAGCATGTTGCTCATAAGATAAGCAGCACTCAAACGACAAGTTCAAAAATGCCACTTCCTTCACTCGGCCTGACAGCCATGCCGGGCCCAGGGTCTATGGTGAGGACTAAACCATGGCCCCTGCCTTCCAGGGGTTCCAGGCCAAGCACGGGGGACAGCTCCTGTTCTGTGCGAGCCGGTCAGCTAGGGCAGATGAGAAAGCGAGTCCTCTGGAGGGGACAACGCTGATTCCAGAGAGACCGGCGGGCAAAGATCCCGGCTACGTCTTTGCCATGTAGACAGGTCAGCACAGAGGCATACAGGAAGCTTTTTCATAGCATAAACGGAAGTGAAGGTGGTTTCACATGACTGGAGAACACCGGGGGAGTGGCTACAGGTAAAGCCATAACAACATGTGCCAAGCTGTTAGGCGCTGACAGATGAGGACTGGTATGAGGGAAAGACAAATTCAAAAAGTCATTGTTTACCTGCAATGACTTCTATTCAAGAAGAAGGGATATAGGAAAAGGGCACCGATCCTAAACTGTCCTAACAGTCCTGAAGAGCGTTACTCTGCTGTAAGAAACGGATTTTCCAGGTGGGGGCTGTCAGTGAGTAGATGGAGATTACGCACATTCCAACATTATTGGAAGGAGGCTTGGTGGCATAGGGGGTTACATGCTTGGCTGCTAAACACAAGATACACAGTTCAAAGCCACCAGCTGCTCCACAAGAGAAAGATGAGGTGATCTGCTCCCACAAAGGCTCCCAGCCTTGGAAACTGGGGGTGTGTTGGGGGAGGGGGCAGGGGAAATGACGACAGAGAGTTCTAGCCTATCTTATACGGTTGCTATGTGTTGGAATCGACTGGATGGCAGTAAGTTGAGTAACATGATTGGAGGTTCAAGAGTGCAGTGGTTTCCTGGCTACAAAAATAAACCAGTCTTTTGGAATGACTATTTGGCCTAAAAAGAAAAAGTAGATTAGTGGTTGTCAGAGGTAAGAGGAAAGAGGAATGGGAAGTTATTGCTTAATGGATACAGAGTCTGTTAGATAATACTTTTGGATATAGTTAGTGGTGGTGGTTACAACAGGGTCAATCAATGCAATTAATACCACTAAATTGCACACATAATATGGTCAAAATGGCCAGTGTTTTTGTTATATTTTCCAAGAAAATTTAAAACATACAAAATGATATCCTACTATTTGTGAAAGAAAAACGACAATGCGGATTGTACCGGTGCCAGTTAGGGTTCTCCGGAATAGAAAACAGCAGGTCATTAGGTTTGTCTTCATCAATATCTAGATCACTCCGGCCTGTGGTGCCCTTTGTGCAGCCCGCACTGGACCTCTGATGTGATTCTGGGGGTGGTACGGGAATGTCAGTGCCCCTCTCACAGACCCCTGACTGTGAAATAGAAAGCAGCCAAACAAGGTTTTTCTTACTCAAGCCCAAAGTCGAGACTTACAAGTATTCAAATATTTCCCCTGACCCTAGGGACAAGGGCAAGGGGAATGACCACCTGGATCCCCCAGCTCAGAATCCCTGGCGCTAACCCCGAGTAAACAATGCTAGGGTACATGTGGAATGTGCATGTCCTGTCCAGGGAGGTGGCTTCTCAGAGCATGCAGCCTCGCAGAAAAAAGTCTCATGGATGCTTTGAACATTGATTACTTTTCATACCCAAAGTGCTCCAAATTCTATTTGGCGGGGGTAGCTCCTCGGACAAGAATGTTCTTAGCAGTCACATGAGAGAACCCGGATTGCATGGTCACACCAGCATGTCAATTGTTCCAGTACTGATTCGGAACTCATGAGCAAGCAAGTTCCCCCAAATAACTGGAAAAATATTTCTTTATGGGTTAGATAGGTCTAAAGGCCTGGGAAAATCTCTTTTACTATGCAGTCAAAGGAAGAAGGGTAAAATGGCAAGGCAATATAATCTACATTGAAACAAAATAAATGACAATGATTACTAATATTAGATTGAAGTTTTCTTTCATGGAAGGAATGAGAAGCCCAGGATTCCTATTGTGTTAATTGAGAAAAGAAAATGTTAAGGCTTCCATTGCCATATGCCCTCTCTCCTGACCCAGCAACCCGAGTCATGATCAGGATTTACATGGAAGTTGCTTTCTCTCTTAAAAAGAAAAAGACTCCTGATGATTTTTCTTCGAAAAAGGTCACATTTAGATCCAATTCTGTGTTTTTGCAGTAAGTAATTTTGCTTGGAATTTTTTTTTCTGTGCTTAAAGCTTTTTTGGATGGCTATCGGCTCCTCAAAAAGGAAAGAGCACATGACGACCTACCCCCTCTCCCACTGGGCTTGAAAATTCAAAGGCAAATAAGAATAGTAACATCTTTATCAGAGAGAAGAAATGCAAAAATGGTACATCAAACTTCTGATCATTAAACCAAAATGTGAAAACAAGAAGTTATTAAATAAAATACTAGTTTTCAGACAAGAATTTGGGGTGCATATTCAAAGCAAGATATATTTAATTCAATATCAGTTTAATCCCCACTCATCCTAGTGCAGTTAACCAAAACCCTCCAAACTCTTAATTCAGTTCCAACTCATAGGAGCCTTGGTGGGATAGTGGGTTACACTTTGATCTGCTAAACACAAAGTTGGCAGTTTGAAACCACCAGCCACTCTGTGGAAGAAAGATGAGGCTTTCTCAAGGAAGAGATAGATGCCCCAGGTTTTTCCACAAACACCCTTCTGAAATACTAACTGTTAGAGAACATTAGCTGGGAAACCGGACAAGCTACGTTCGGGCCCAAGTAAAAAAATATAAAACGAGGTTTTTGTTTTGAAGATATAGCTTTGATTTATACATTTGCAAAGGAAGCAAGATGATTACAAAATATCACCAGTATTGAAATGCCTTCCGAGTAAAAATATTCCTGAGTCAGCTGATGAGTCATAACTTAAGCAACATGTAGTACTTGACCTTTTCAAGCAACACAGGGCAACTTTTGCAAGTCTGTGAATTCTCATTGCAATGGTTTAAAAAGTTTTAAATATACCCACATAAAATAGCCTTGATATACTGAAAATAGTCACTAAAATAATACATAGTCTTTCATTTGAGTTGTTACCATCAACTAAGTGTTAAGGCGTGTATTTTATCATCAGTAATGCAACAGATAGCTGAGAAATGTTGTTCAACCAGATTGCTGTACTCTTGGCATAGGTAATCCGAGCAAGTGCAAGGGGAGTGAGGCAGAGGTGAGGGGAGCCCTCTCCCAGAAACGTCACAGGTTAAAACGACAACCCTTTAACTTGGAAACTGTTTTAAGAATAGAGTCAATGATCAGGCCAATATTTGTCAATGTGCCATGTGAGCCTCCCATTTGTTGCTGTTGTTGTTGTTTTTTAAATCATTTTACTGGGGGCTAGTACAACTCTTATCACAGTCCATACATCCATCCATTGTGTCAAGCACATTTGTACCACCATCATTCTCAAACATTTTCTTTCTACTTGAGCCCTTGATATCAGCTTTCCGCCCCCCTTCCTCCCTCATGAACCCTTGATGATTTTTATAAATTATTATTTTTTCATGTCTTACACTGACCGATGTCTCCCTTCACCCACTTTTCTGTTGTACACCCCCAAGGGAGGGGGTTATATGTAGATCATTGTGATCAGTTGCCCTTTTCTCCCCCACCTTCCCTTTACTCTCCTGGTACATCTACTCTAATTATTGGTCCTGAGAGGTTTATCTGTCCTGGATTCCCTGTGTTTCCAGCTCTTATCGTTACTGGTCTGGCTGGATTTGTAAGGTAGACTTGGGATCATTTTAGTGGGGCAGGGGGTGTGGGATTGGGAAGCATTAAAGGAAACATTTATGTTTCATCATTGCTATATTGCACCCTGACTAGCTTGTCTCCTCCCCGGGACCCTTCTGTAAGGGGATGTCCAGTTACCTACAGATGGGCTTTGGGTCTGCACTCCCCACTCCCCCTCATTCACAATGATATGATTTTTTTGTTCTGGGTCTTTGATGCCTAATACCCGATCCTATCGACACCTCGTGATCACACAGGCTGGTGTGCTTCTTCCATATGGACTTTGTTGCTTCTGAGCTAGATGGCCGCTTGTTTATCTTCAAGCCTTTAAGACCCCAGACACTATCTTTTGATAGCCAGGCACCATCAGCTTTGTTCACCACATTTGTTTATGCACCCATATTTCTTCGGTGATCGCATTGGGAAGGTGAGCATCATGAATGCCAGGTTAATAGAATGAAGTGTTTTTGCTTTGAGGGAATACTTGAGTAGAGGCCCAATGTCCATCTGCTACCTTAATACTAAACCTATAAATATATACACATAGATCTATTTCCCCATTGTCATATATAAACATATTTACATATGTATATGCCTGTATTTAGACCTCTATAAATGCCCTTTGGCCCCTAGTTCTTTCCTCTATTTCCATTATCATGTTCAGCCTTCATTTGGGTTTCAGTAATTCTTCTCAGTACATTGCCCTTGATCAAGCCCTACCAGGCTTCCTACACCCTCCTCGCTATCGAATTTGGATCACTTGTTGTTCCTTGTCCCTGGATTTGTTAACACCCACCCCCACCCCCCACTCTCCATAACCTTGGTCCTGTTGTTTTCTCCTCCAGATTGTTTATCCTGCCTATCTTATCTAGATAAACCTGCTGAGATAATAGTATGCACAAAAAACAAGACAAAGCAAAACAAAGCAACAAAGGAAACAAAATAACAACAACAACCAAAAACAACAACAAACAAACCCAATGACAAATAAAAAGAAAAAGAAAAACCTGTAAATAGTTCAAGGTCTATTTGTTGACCTTTAGGAGTGTTTTCTGGGCCAGTCTGATGGGGTGCCACGCTCTGGCCTCCCCTGGGGACTTCATTGCTCTGTTCCCCTTGATGTTCTATTGCACACCCTTAGTGTTTTGCATCAGTGTGGTGGGGTCAGATCAGGCGCAATTCCTGCACTGTCTCCAGTGTTGTTCCCCATAGGTCATGAGGGACATCATGTCTCATAGTGAGGCCGGCGCCTCCCAGTTTTGATGCATCTGTCTGTTACTTTGGGGAAGATGCTTGTGAAGCACACAATGGAGCAGACCCTCAGAAGCAGTTCTAGGGTCAGCAATCCAAGGGAAAAATGCATATCAAGACTGGATTAGGGCACATTGAGCTTCTGTTAAGTGTGACAGAAATGTTTGGCAAAAGGTAGTGCTGATAGTTCACAAGATAAATATACCCAAGGTCACTCAATGGTACAGGTAAACATGCTGAAATGGCAAATGTTTTGCTACATGTTTTCTTACAATTAGAAAACAAAACTGGATGGTGAGTTTGGCATTGATTGTCCATTAAAAATGAGTACATAAGTTTTCTGAGAAAGGTGAGCAACAAGTGCCCTTGGATGAATCTTCAGAGGGGGCAGGAAGGGTAGTGTTTTGAGGCAAAGGACTAGCCTCTTTAAAACCACTAGGTCCTGTAGGCGATAATAGACTCCAACTGCTACCTTCTTCAGAAAGCCAGTTTGGCTACTAGAAGCCAAACCGAAAGTTAGAGTGATCTTAATTTCCCCACCTTGTCGAATGATGGTGGTTGGCTCTCCCCCATGAAGACTGGCTCTCCCAATGGAAGGTCCGGTGATCTCGGTCCAGTAAACCATCTTGTCCACACAATCAAAGGCAAGTCCAATGATAACTTTATCCTGTAAGTGAAAACTAGAGGTGAGATGGCTGATCTGAATAACGAATCATGTTGAAAATCTTTGCAAGTACTTCATATGCATTTGAAAGGGCTCTTTGTGGCTCTATAGTTCACTATTGGACTGCTAATCCCAAAGGTCAATAGTTTGAAACCACCAGCTGCTATGAGGGAGAAAGATGAAGCAGTCAGTTCCTATTAAGATTTACTTCACAAACACCCTAGGGGGCAGTTCTACTCTGTCCTACAAGGCCACTAGGAATTGGAATTGACTCAGTGACAATGGGTTTGGTGATAAGCATTTGACCTTTGAAAGAAAATTTTTTAAAATAAAGTGGCTTCAAGTCTTTTGGTCATTTGAGAATTTTCCTTTAAATAAAATCACTTAAGCTCATGAAAAAAAATGAACTGTTAAAACTCATGTGTGTGTGTGCTTTTTTTAAAAGCAAATTTTAATGAAGTACAATCTACCTTTTTTTTTCTTTTGGCTAATTCTTCCTGTATTTGAAATTTTTGAAATATTTTTTAATGAAATCTTTGCCTATACAAGGAAATAAAGGGAATAAAAATGAAAAAGGGGAAAAATAAAACTACTTCACTCTAAGATAATATGATTGTTACTAGAAAATCCTTCAAAAACTGTAAGACTATAATAAATAACTGAATTTAGAAAGTAAGTTAGCTATAAGGCCAATAAAATTGTATTTCTATACGTTTACAAAAAAATAAAATGAATTTTAAAATAAGCATTTAAGAAACATTTTTTGAAGTAAATGATATTAGAAAACACTACAGAGGGAAATGACAGACCTAAATAAATAAATAGATGAATTACATCTATAAACTATTAGGTGTACTATTTTTAAGATATCAATTATCTTTATAATGACAAAACCAATGTTAACCTCTATCAAAATCCAAGCAGGATTTTTTGGTTGATTTTTGGTAGAGAGGAAGTTTATCCCAAAGTGTATATGGGAAAGCATACTGCAAAGGAACTTATGTAAGCAATCTCAAAAAGAATAAAGTTGGAAAACTCACATCCCTTGGTTTTAAGGGTTAGCTCTAAGTAAAACATAAATTCAATGACTAGATCAATGGAACAGACCGGAGTCCAGAAACTACCCTCACATGTACAGTAGACTGCTTTGATGAAGGGACCAACAGACCAATGGAAAAACATAGTCCTTTCAGCACAGGATGCTAGAATAGGTGGAGAAAAGAAATTCATATTGGCCTCACACCATATGCAAATGTTCAAAGCTGAATGTACCCGGCTCCTAGAAAAAAAATCATAAGAAAATATCTTCACCCCTTTCTGAAAGGATTTACCCACCAGTCCAAGCATATACAAAGAGTAATGAGCATTCTACAAACAACTCCAAATCACAAAACAAGTGCATTTATATTTATCATATTTTGCTTTGCCATTTATGTAGCATCGAAAACTGCCAAGAAAACTCTGCACCAATATGTGGGACAAGCAAAGTGTCCCCTGCCATCCTAATGAAAATATGCAGGACCTTACTTCCACCTATCACATGCTTATCAGCTTTTTGGATCCTCTTCTTAGTGAAAAAAATAAAACATTTTCTTCAGCAAAGTCATAGTCCTCTTTCACACGTTGATCCTTCTAAAAGAGGTCAGAGGAACTAAAGTGTACTTGAGTTGACACAAATCTATCGTGTTAGACTTCCGTTTGAAGAACCATTGAGGGCAAGCTACACTAAGAGGCCAATGTCTCATATGCCCAGTACGTATGCAAAAATACAGTGGCATTGAGAAATTTCGTGGTGATTTAGTAAAAAAACCAAGCAACGTAAATTATCCAAAAACAATTTACAAACTATCTCAAAATAGTCTATCTGCCCACAGGCTGACTCAGTAACGGCCAGCTCAGACCCTTGCCAAACTGAGTTCTATAAACACTACCGGGATTTAATCACTGAGGAAAACTGGGTGAAGGACATAGAGACCCTCCTTGTATAATCCTTGCAACTCTGTGACTTTATAATTATTTCAAAATTTAAAAACCTCATGCTTAAGAAAAAAGCTAGCAGCATGTACTGTCTCAGATGCTTCCTGGTAGGCTCAAGTTCTCTGACAGCCTAGGAATAATGGTCTCAGGCCATGGACACAAGGACAGGACAGTTTGAGGACAAGGAAAGCTCAGAGGGACAATGAAAGTGGAGGACCAGGATGCTCATCTCCTGGGAAGCTCAGGGTTATCAACTGACACACCCTCTCAGAAGGCTATGCTAGCTATCCCAGAGTCTGCCTAGGCTCACAGCTACCTCGTACACCAGGGGCCCTCAAACTACAGCCCCCGGGCCACAGGCGGCCCACCGAGGACATTTATCCAGCCCGCCGGGTGTTTTTGCCCCGTTTGTTTTTTTACTTCAAAATAAGATATGTGCAGTGTGCATAGGAATTCATTCATAGTTGTTTTTTTTTAAAACTATAGTCCTGCCTCCTAACGGGTATGAGGGACAGTGAACTGGCCCTGTTTAAAAAGTTTGAGGACCCCTGCCGTACACCATGGAATAAAATATGCCTGATCCTGCCCTATCCACATGATTGGTGGCAGACCAGACCATTGTGAATCACAGGGTTTTCAGTGGATGATTTTGGGAGTCAATTGGGAGGCTTTTATTCCTAGTCCATTGTTGTCTGGATGTTCCAATAAGACCTATTCAGTATCATAGACACACAAAAGCCCCACTGGCAGATAGGAGGTGCCTGATGCATCAAGTGCACTGGCTAGAAATGGAACTAATGTCATTCATGAAAGGTGAGAATTCCACCACTGGACCACCCCTCCACCTATCCCATTCCAATTCTTTAATATAGCCTCATATGGCATTTAATCCTTCCCTAAGATTTTGGGGTTAAGTGACTTTATGTGCTAGAGGTTATAAAGGAAGAACGATTATTCTTCTTCAAGAAATTCATGTTCTCAGTGAGGCAATAGGAGAGAACAGAGATCACTCCTGTATTCACTCAACAGCTACTTCAGGAATGCCTCCCAAGTGCTGACCACTGTCCTAGAGACTGTGAAACAAACACTTCGATCATTTCCCCAATTTTGGTGTTTAGATCCTTGGTGGGAAGATATACATTAAACTGATACATCAATATTTAATATCTCAAGGAGAGTTGGTAGTTATTGAAAGACAAAGCTGCATAAGGAAAGAGAGGGTAGTGGAGATCGCAACTTTAGAGAGTGGTTAGGAAAGACTTAGAAATGAGGCAGTGCAAGTTGTGTGTGTGTGTGTGTGTGTGTGTGTGTGGGGCACGAGATGGGGGTGGGGCGAGAGACCTCCAGACAGAGGAAGCAGCATGTGCAAAAGCCTTGAGGTGGGAATATGGTCTGTGGAAGTTACATAATTTCATGTCAATTTGAAGATACATAATAGTATGGGGTGGTATTCAAACTGTCAATCAGGTTGCAGCCTAATGGTACCTCCTCGTGGGCGTGGCCTTCTCACAAGGAGGGCTCTGGAACCTCCTCTCTCTCTCTGCCTGCACCTTCATGCTGAAGAGCCGCGCTGTGACCGGCCATAACCCTGGATTCCCAAGACTGCACCCACCGCCGTGGGTGATATCCCTGTATTTGGCATCATTGCTTGTGACTGTATGAGTCTGAAGAGGGACTTATGGACTTGAGTTGGGCTGGACTGGGATGTTTTTGCGAAATATAATTACTTCTGGATAGAAAGGGGGAGTGGAGCGAGGGGTAAAAATGAGGAGCTGATGCCATGGAGAGCAAATGTTTTGAGAATGATCAGAGCAATGAATGTACAAATGTGCTTCACACAATTGATGTATGTATAGATTGTGGTAAGAGTGCTATGAGCCCCTAATAAAACGATTTTTAAAAAAGAATCCAATGACAATTTACATTAATTCATGAAAAAGAAGAAGAAAGCTCTTTCTTACACATCTATGAGTGTCTCTGGATTGGTTTCTCTGGTCAACCTGGCCTAACCTAGGTCAAAACCTAGGTGGCCGGAAGGGCGGACGCTGGTGAGGGGAGGGGAGAGTGGCAGGCAATAAGGCTGGAGAGGCAGCTGATGGCTGTACCCTGTAGGCCTGGGAGGCGATTGGAGAGAACGGGATGTCACTCTGAGAGAAATTGTGAGCAAGAGGGGAAGGACATGACTCTAATCAACTGTGTCCATGTGAGGCTTTGGAAAGACATTTTCATTTTGTATTTATTTATTTATTTGTGTTTTCTCCCTGCAAAGAAGGGGGGACGGCAGTGTGCAGTGCCTGTGAAGGACAAACTCAGGCTGAGGAAATGGGGAGAGGAGGAAGCAGCGGAGGAGAGAAAAGTGCCGCTGCCACCACTGAGGAGTGACGAGGGTTTCTGCTGCCTTCATGGACAAGGACAAGTTGACGCCTACCCTCCCCTTTCCTACCCCAAGGCCCCTACCCACTAATCCAGTGCCCGGGACCCAACTGCATCACCAAAGCTCTACGGGTCTGATATGTGGCTTCTTGGAAGGACGTGGTGATTGGAGAGAGAGAGAAAGTGTCCAACTTTGAACAGGTAAAACTTCCCAATTCACTAAATGCATTCTTGAAGTTTTCAAAAGCCTCTAAGTCAAAGCTTGCTACTGACTTTGGGCAGAGCTGAGGCTCTGCTGCTGAAAGGTGAGACCCTTTTACTTTAGCAAGAATGGAAAGATCAAACCTAGCAGGGGCACTGAACCAAAAAACCAAACTCGCTGTAGAGTAGATGGTGACTCCTAGTGATTCTATGGCACAGGGTAGAACTGCCCCTGTGAGTTTCTGAGACTGTATTATGGGAAAGCCCTGTCTTTCTCCAGCCGACTGGCAGGTGGTTTTTAACTGCAGACCTTGTGGATCTCAGCCCTGTGTGTAACCACTCCACTTCCAGGGCTCCATGAAGCCGGGGCTTTGTACTATTTGCATAAAATAATACAACACTCACATGAAATAATATAAAGCCTTTCCCAGAGGGTAATATTTTTTCTGTAAAGTCTGAGCAGGAGCCTCACGGGGAGCTCAGGAGTACAGCACCCCTAGCAGCTACACGGAATGATGAGCCCCTGGCTCCCGGGTGCCAGCCCACCCCACTCTCTCCCAGGGATCTCCCGCACACTGGCAGCGGAGGAGGCCACCGAGCTGGCACTCACCGGAGCATGAAAGAGCGTCTTGGCTTCCACCTTCTTCATAGTATTTCCCTCCAAGGGCAGGTGCTCTACCTTCCCAGTCTGGGCAAAGAGTAAGTGGGTCCCAGGTGGCAGGGGAATCACAGCAGTAGGAACTGGGGGTCCGTAGTGAGTTGGGGGTGCCACTGTGCTGAGACCTATGGACAAGAGATGTTAGTGAGCAAGGCCAGATGGCAGCAGGAATGCCCAAGAGCAATCTGTGGGTGAATTCTAACCCATAGTCACCCTATGCAGAACTGCTCCTGTGGGGTTCTGCGACCAAAAAGCCTCATTTTTCTTCTGCTGAGTGGCTGCTGTGTTTGAACTGCTGACCTTGAAGTTAGCAGCCCAACATGTAACCCACGAAGCCACCAGAGTTTAGGGCACACCACAGGGGAGTCTGATGTGAAACTTTGGTGGCTGTTTGCTCTCTGGACCCTAAAACGGAACCAGCCTCTGAAGGCCCCTGGGAAGAAAGCACGTGCTGCAGGGACGAGGGCACTGCCCGCCCACCAGGCTCCAGGAGCCTCCGGTAGCTCCATGACCGTCTGCAGACATGGAAATATCCAGAAGTCTTAACTCTCCTGGAAGAGTATAGGCCCAGCTCCGGGGCACACTAACTACTGAACAAGACACTTTTTGGGGGGGCACAGCAAAGGAAGAGGGCAGGGGTGAGAGGGCAGAGCAGGGATGATGCAGAGTGGGGAAGTAAGATGGGAACAAAGGGGAGGGGCTGGAGAGCAAAGAGAGAATGGGGTTGGAGCCATCCGAGTTGGAGACATAGGGTTAGGCAGAAAGTACCCCTCCCCATCTCTGATGAAGAAACGCACGTGGCTGGCAGGACCCAGAAGACAGATGTTAGGGGGGGGTCTGGTGCCTGCTGGCTGTGCCAGCTTCATACTTACATGGGGGCTGCACTCCAAACCTGGTCCTAGTGCCCTCAATCTCTCGGCCATCCTGGTCCACGCACCAGCAATGCCCGGTGCTTCCGTGGCACTGGGTGGGCGAGTACTGCCCGTGCTCATCGCACTCGGGAACGAAGAGTCCTGGGGGCCCCGGCCGCTGAGGGTCTGTGGCGTCTGCTGCCCCCAGGATGCGCTCACGCTCATGCTGACACCTGGTTTTCTCGGCTTCTGTTTGAGAGGCAGCAAAGGAAGAAGGGGCAGTTAGCTTGGCATCCAACCCCAGGTCCCGAGCGGTCCCACCGTTTCCCTGTGCACCCTCACAGCTGCCTGGTTAGTACCAAGGATGTTTGTTTTTAACTCTTACTGTGGTGATACATATATAATACTTGCCATCTTTATGTGTTGAATTCAGTGACATTCGTTACAGTCACTAAGCTGACTATGCAACCGTCACCACCATCAATTCCCCAAGGTTTTCATTACTCGTGACCAAAACGTAGAAACGTGTCCCTGGGTGGCACAAAGCGTTCAGCCTGTTACACATACTAGTGGAAAGGTTGGCAGGTCAAGCCTGCCCAGAGGTGCCTTGGAAGAAAGGCCAGATCATCTGTTTCCAAAGAACTTCTGCCTCGGAAACTTCAGGGAGCCCCTCAGCATGCATACCGGGAGTTGCCATGAGTCGGAACTAACACAAGCCAGTCACTTACGGATAACCACGAAGAAAATACTCCAGGTCTGGTCAGCAATGATCCTCCCCACCTACTCCACGGCGACTTCGAACCCACCTTTTTGGTATTGGTATTAAAGGTTAAGTTCTAAGCTCCATTTGAGTTTCCAGTCGGCCTCACGGAGCTGGATGGCATCACTGACCTGCAGGTCAACAGCTCGGCCCTGAGGCTGAGGGTTCGCTGCCATCCCCTCCCCACCCTGGGGCGCAGCAGTCTCCTTTGCAGAGCCTGGCAGGAGTGTGTACCCCCCAAGCGCAGTCTCTCCCCCACTGGCAACTGCGATACATTTTCTACCACCGATCATAATCTTGTGACAAACTCCTCTGTTTCCCAAACTTTATCATTTATAATCCTTCGGGCACCCTTGTGGCCCCCAGCTGATGGTCTCCTTCATCCCAATGAATCATGTTTATCTTCACCTTGTCTTTCTCCTGTTTACGCCTTAAGGAAAGAGTCTCCATAAAACATAACTTAACGGGGGCCTTACTTCCTTTGACCAACTTCTACGCATTTGCCTCATCTGGATCTTTCATAAAGGTGAGGTCATATAACATTTGTTCTTTTTTTTTAACATAAAAGTAAAATTTAATGTATATGGAAACAAATAATAGGAAACAAACCAGTCTGAATAAGTATTCCTGCCTTCACTGGACACAAGTTATACTTTTAAATAGTCACAATAGTACAAATGTGTCTTCAGGTAACGGTTTAAATGTCTGGCAATACTAAAAAGAAAAACAAAGTCAAATTTTGTAGTAAAAGTAAACTAGTTAATTACACTTTCGATAAAAAATGGATACAGCAAAATGGTGAAAGAAAGGTTAAAGAATAACCCCAAACCCCTCCATAACGAAAGGATTTGTTCTTTTGTGTCTTATTTTCTGCTCAGCAAAATGACTTCAATATTGTACTAAAGCCTATATTCTGATCACTAGGTTTGTAGTGTTTTAGGGTAGAAAAGAAACTCCAATCTCAATATAATATAAGAACATTTATTAAGTCTTAAATGGGACAAGGACAAATACCTAGACACAGATACAGTCTCTGGATGGGATGGGCATTAACATGAGGTCCAAATGTCACCTGAGGTTTGACCTTCAAAATGCCAGTTAAACAAGGCATGGAACAAAGGGACCTGTCACAAGTCCACGACTGGCAACCGATTCGGACAAAGCAGCGACGACGGGTGGGACTGCAGAACCGGGAAGGGGATCGTGGGGCACAGAAATGATGTGAGCTAGTAGAGCTTATAGTCACGGCATGACTACTGACACTCCCTGTACCATCCATCAAGGACATACTCAGGCAAGCCTCTAAAAAAAGACTACCCCTCCCAGAGCGGGCGGACAAGGGAACGGAGGTCAGATCTCATCCTTGGGTAATGTTGTTAGGGGTGGTCCAGTCAGTTCTGACTCACTGTGACCTTATGTACAAAAGAACCAAACATACTCGGTCCTATGCGAGGCTCACAATTGTCATAGGTTTGAGTCCATCAATGTACCCACTGTGTCAATCCCCCTTATGGATGGTATTCTTCTTTTTGCACTGTCCCTCTACTTCACCAAGCATGATGTCCTTCTACAGGGACTGGTCTTTCCTGATAACATGTCCAAAGTATGTGAGACAGTGCCTCACCATTGTTGCCTTTAAGGAACCTCCAGGCTGCACTTCTTCCAAGACAGACTTGTCAGTTCTTTTGGCAGTTCATAATGTTTGCAATATTCCTTGCCAGCACCATAATTCAAACGCAGACTCTTCTTTGGTTTTCCTTAATGTCCAACTTTGAAATGTATGAGGCAATAATACAAAATACCATGGCTTGGGTCAGGGACATCTAAGTCCTCAAAGTAACCTCCTTGCTTTTCAACACTTAAAAGAGGGCTTGTGCAGCAGATTTATCCAATGTATTATGTCATTTGATAATCCCGACTGTTGTTGTGAGGATATTTGTTTTCTTTACATTGCATTGTAATTCACACTGAAGGCGGCAATCCTTGATCTTCCTCAGTAGGTGCTTCACGTGCTCCTCACTTTTCGCATGCCAGATTGTGTCATCTGCATATCACAGGTTGTTAATAAACCTTCCGGCAATCCTGGCATCAGTTCTTCTTCATATAATCCCACTTGTCTGATTATTTGCTCTGCACACAGATTAACAGCACACAGTAGGGTCAGAGGACATGACCCAGACCCAAAGTTTCCTGGTTTTAAACCATGATGAATTCACTATATAGAGTGGACTGTTGTCTATTCCTTATTCTAATTTATTTAGTTCCACTTCATTTTGAGTATTACTTTAGTAGAATGTTTTCTTCATAAAAATTTCTTTTCTAATATATTTAGGTTGCTGTCTGTAGTTACAGATTTCCGTGATTCATAGAATTCCTTTTAATACTTTTTGTAAGACGATAATATTTTTATGAGTTATTTTAGTTTTTCCCTTTTCAGTAAATGTTTTTATTTCTCTCATATTTCAGGGATCATTTCTGGTAGATATAAGATGCTCGGTTGGCAATTTTTTCCTTTTGGTATTTTGAATGAAGCATTCCATTGCCTTTTTGCCTGAATGACTTCGGCGGAAAAATCTGAATGTATCAGGGCTTCTAAGCACAGAGTTGCGCACATTCATGCCACAAATGCAAACGTAGCTGATGGGGCCATAGCTGTCTCAGAGCAGACCTCGCACTAGAATTATCAGCACGGTCAGCAAGGGCAGAAGGGAGGGCAGCTTGAGATTATACGCAAGCTTGCCTCACAGAAGGAAAGGAAGAGATTCGGATTAAACCAGCGAATGGCTCAACATTACTTGAAGTAATCCAGAGTGAGAAAGAGAACTCGGCAGTGTTCAGAAACCATCCAGTAGAGGCAAGTCAGAGATTTACCAATATCGATCCAGGGACACTTGATGTGGAAGTTTTTCTAACGACCCATTTTATTTATTCATCAGTCTCCTGCAGAAATTCAAGAGAAACTGCAACATAAAGCCGTGAGACCTCAGATTGACCCAATGAACTTCTAATGGCAGCACCTTCGTGTACAACTGGGTTTTGGAAAGGAAAAGAAAGAACAACAAAAATAGACAACTCCTGGAGCTGCTATTGCGGCCCATGTCTCCATAGGGCGAGAACTGTGCCCGGGCCACACAACCCCGATCCCAAGTCGGATCCTAAGGAGTGTGACGTAGAGGAAGTGCCCCCAAACCACGAGGGTGGGAGGGAAGCCTCCCTGCATCGGTTTCCAACGTGGGACTCCAGGACACCAAGCTCATGAGTGTACCAACTGAGTCTTCGTGACAGCAGATCCTGTTGACTGATGGGGCCCCAGCCCCCTCACTCCTTTTGGCAATGCCATTGACATCACACTCAAGGAGCCGTGAGTAGGTGTGGACATAGCCGCTAAGTCCACCTGAGCTTTGCTGGACACAAGAGCTGCATATTTGGTATTAAAATCTTTTGTTGGTCATTTACCTCCCTCCTCCCTCCATGTCGTTGGCATGGATGGGCTGCCAACTAAGAATTTCTCACACCTCCTCTGCCCAGCATGAGAGAAGACTCTATCTTCACATCAGTTCTCGATTATTCCTGAGTCCTCTAGGAAGAGGCTTCTTCTTCAAATCAAGAGTCCAAACTGCCCCTCCCCCCAGAAGAATTTACTTTAGAGGACGGCACTGAAGCTGCGGCTAGGGGAGAGGGGCATTTCTGATCAGAGCACAGGAGAGCAAATAAAGGGGGAGGAAGAGAGAGTGGAGCACATCCTGGCCCACCAGGTCTGGAGGACGATATCCCCGCTCTGAACAGCCAATGCACAGAGTGGACCATATGGCTGGTCCCACTATGAGACACGCTGTCCCTTGCCGGCCCAGGGCCCTAAGCGGGACAACAATGGAGAGTCAGTGTTGGGACTGGCCCGGACTGACCCTGTGACACCGAGGCAAACCACTAAAGGCGTGTGGTGGAACAACCATGGGAGCAGAGCAGGGAGCCCCCGAGGGAGAGCAAAGGATAGCTAGACTCTGGGGCCAGAGCGTGGCACTCCATCGGACCTGACTGAAGGACACGCCTAGAGGTCAGAAACCAGACCTTGATCTATTCACAGGTTTTTTTCTTTCTTAAAATTTTTTTTCCAAAAAAAAACCAAAACTTTTTTTTCTTTTATACTTAATTTATTCTTTTATGGGTCATTGGTTTTCTTTTTTGTTGTCATCGCTGTGTTCTCATTCGTCACCTATCTTGCTATGCCTTGATTTTTGGTGCATATTATTATCTCTACAGCTCTATCTAGATAAGATAAACTTGATGAATAGTCTGGAGGAGAAAACAACGGGGCCAATGGTTCCAGGGGGGATGGGGGGACATAGGAGAGGGGGAGGCAGGGGTAAGAAGGTGGTGCTGACCAACTCAGGAACAGGGGAGCAACAAGTGATCCAAAGTTAGTGGCAAGAAGGGTGTGAGAACCCTGGTAGGGATTCAGCAAGGGCAATGTAACCGAGAGAAGTTACTG